GCCTATCAAGGGAGACCACTACTAGGCCACGTAGGCGCTTGATAACGAAGGGACGAGTTTGCTTATCCAATTGATACTACTGTCAAGCAAATTTCGAGCCCCCATAACCTTTCAAATATAATCATTTTACAGTTTTAATTCCCCTTTTTGCGAACAGCATTCAAAACTCTGTCGATTTATGTGAGTCTCCATTCAAAGTCCCACGGTAAATAAACTACCCCTCCTTGCAAGTATAGCTCAACCTCTACAAACGAGGTTCGTGAATGAAACCTCGAATCGACAAGCTTAGGCTTCTAACCTTCTATTTTTGACAGCAACACTGATCAACACCTATCTCTCATGCTCAGGAATTCCACCTGAGTGACCAATACTTTCCTTTATTGGGTGACAAAAAAGGATAAAGGATAAAGTCTTAGGGCGTAATAAATCCCGTCTGAGAGATGCGCTCTCGCGTTCGACTTCCATACAGAATCGTAGTGGCGTAATGAATGCGTATGTGGCCTGTGCAATGACTTGCGGTGGCCACCCGATGCACAAGTCAGTGCTTTTATCCTCCCAGACAATTCTGGTACCAATTCACCGACCCCGGAGGGATGGAAGGCTTGGTGGGTCTAGGTGGATATCGATCCGGAACCCGAACCCGTGACCGTGCGCGTGTGAAGTGTGCCACATACCACTACACCACCTGCGCCCCTATAAGATGACAATAAACATATAGCAAAGCGTTTTAAAATTCTCAGAGCTTGACAGTAAAATAGAAGCTACCCTTTCATTTCTCACAGCTTACAAGCTTAGAAGAGCTTAAGAGGCTAAAAGCGTGATCTAGGTCTAGAAGGCCAATGTAAAGTAATCTATTAGCCTAATGCCAGCCAATTCATTACAATTAGGAGAGAATGTCGGATGCTTGAGTATATCGTGAGGTAGATTGGTCAAAGACTTCACTGTTTTCATCTTATACCTTTCATTGCTGCAAGGCTAACGAATGAAATCGTTACGGATTAGTTGTAAGGTGCACAGAAGTGATGCGCCCTTCTCAGGATTGTGATTTTCATATTCTACATCACCCTAGTTACGAGATCAGCGCAAGGCTTATCCTATTCTCACAACGTGGTCGCCATTGGCTCACATGATTAAATTGTTGATTAAGCCCACATTCCGGAGAAAAACAGAAGTGGAGGCGCATGACGCGTACTAAAAGTGTAGATTGGAGCAAAGCGCATTATCCCTCTATCCTCTTATCTCAAATCTCTTGTTTGTAGAAGAGAAGTGTGTTCCGGAGGCGTGCTTGAGCAATGACGTGCTCCTCACTGTCCTTTTCGGTGAACATCTCTTTTCCCCTAAACGGCTGAAACAACCTCTTAGAAAAATCTCTTTTATATTTACCAAAGCCTGTAGATGTCATAAGATCTCTCCATTAGCTTTGAGCTGCAAATCTTCAAAAAAGCACGACCTTTAGCGTCATTATTACGAGAACTCCTCCATTTGAAAACTTTTTGACTCCCCAACAGCTTGTTTACATGAGTGAGTTGGTTTCTTGTCGCTCAAAGGCACAGTTTATGAGGATTTTGACGTATCTCTTTCAAGTTAAATTGGACGCCGTGGTGCAGAATAGTGCAGAAAGTTGTCGGATTCCAAAAAGTATAAGACTCCACAAAAGCAGCAAAAAAGCAAAAAAGAAGGTTGTACAAAGTGGTCGTCTGGGTGTCCCTTATTTGAGCGTACTATTCGTCTTGACTTGTAAAGAGTGCACCAATAACAAAGCCGGCGTAACACGGTCATTTTGGGTGTTTGCGTCGGACAAACCGGTTTTGGATGGTATAGACACCCAGTTACGCTGTAACGCTCTATCTATGCCGTTTTCGGCCCGACAGCGACTCATGTACTATGGGAATGCGGTACATTCGTGATCTAGACGGCGCGCAAATTGCGCGGCAAAATTCAAAGCAATTTAAACGACTTTAACGCCTATTATCCCTATTATTGGAGCCCATATTTGCAATAGAGTAGATTAGTGGAACCTAATCCACAGCTGACACCACTGGTCTAATCTACTTCAAATATTGGCATAAATTTCAAAAAAAGTGGCTTCGATGCATTGCAAAAAATGAGTCGTGCATTCCAGAAAAAATGGCTTTGATCTCTCGCACTCCTTATTCTTACGATGACGATGACAGCGATGACGAGGGGAGCGAAGGACTACCTGACATAATTTTCGAAGAGAACCGCTTTGTGAGTTCAGCCACTTTTTTAGGGCAGCTTCAGTATGATGATTTTGTAGACTTTGAGGTAGCATTGGATTAGAATCTATTCGAACATTCGTTCATGATAGACATTACAGCGTGCGGCATATATATGGCCAAAAAAATTGTGTTGCAGAAACCGCAATCCATCTTGGTACATTATGAATTCATGTGAACTATTTACTATGCGTCGCATCAAGAAAATGAACGCACGGTCACGGTTCGCTATTATAACCGTCTCCTGTACTAATGATAGTTCAAAGATGCTTCGACTACTCATCGGCGGCACGCACAGTTCCTCAAAAACTATGTTTCTGGCTTTTTTTCAATGATTTCTTAGAGGCAGCAACAGTGATTGTTTTGTGGCGCGGGCTTCTCTCTCCAGTAGATTCTAAGTATTACACGTAAGGACGCATTGGATTGCGCATCGGAAAAATCGCACCCTAATTACATAGTATCAGGGATGAAATTGCGAGCATCTCCTCAGCACCAGTCTTGATCTTCTTCCATTCTTGAGCAAGTATGCCAGTGCTCCCAAATCGTATCCCTTAAGTGACCTCTGATCTTGAGATACCTTCTCAGAAATGTCCCTCTTGAAGATGTTCTGATCGATTTTTATACTTTTCTCATCGAATAACAAGCGAAGTCGCCCTGATGGCACAGATTCCAGCCCAAAACGTTATAGATGGGAGAGTGGCTACGAGAAAGGAAACCCTTATCAACTTCCTCGTCTCTTGTAGTGCGATTATACGTGTACTCTGGAATCTGATCACTTCTTTCACTCCAACACCTTTTCATCAGAAAAAATTGTATCGAAGCGCGTGCCGCGTGTAAAAAGAGCACGACATTCACTTTTTCTCTCAATTTTTTCCAGTCAAAAAGTTCACAAGGCTTTCAAAACCTATCTGGATACAATTGTATTTGCTCGAGAAAAACTGTTTTCATTGAAGTAGAACATACATTCGATTCTGCGATCATTTTTCTCGTGTTTCTTTCTGCAGGCTTCGTAGCGTAATCATTTCCAGGCAGTTGAATACTGAAAAGAAGTGTTATCGAGACAGTATGGCCATCTCAAGACTGATCGTTCACCTGTCCACGCATCCCAAGACTAGGGGCTGTCATGCGAGAAATGTTGAAACGACAAGAAATTCCGAAAATGAACTCACAAATGCGCGCGAAGACGGAACGGCTGCTGTATGATTGCAGGGCTTCACCGTTTTTCCGAAAACTGATAAATTGAGAATTGTTACCATATTTATAGCGCACCCTGTAAAAACAATTCACATTACTTGGAAGGAATATTGAACAATATTCAAAACTAACAAAATATCCCCTCTATAGGTTCTTTGTGGTTGACAACGCCTGAAAGGAGAGGAGTGTGGTGAGACCACCTCTGATGGATACGGAGTTGGGTTATCAATTTTAGGTTGTAAAGCAACATGAGGAAAAGTAGTCAATTCATAGCACAGAGTAGCTTTCTACCGATAGAGAAAAAGCCTTGTAGAAAGTGTAGAAGTCTTCACATTAGCGAAACTCTGATTCTAAAACCAGCTAACTGAGATAAACAGTCGAACTTGACAGAGTCCATTTTTACTCCACGAGAATAATCCTACCTAATAGTGTGCTTCCTTATTAGAAAGGAGTAAGAACTTGGAAATTGATTCCGCCCCATTGAGATGAGTGCAATGCATCCACAAAAGTACTACAGTTCCAGTACAGTAGTACAATTCCAGCTGTTAGGCTTCTATGGTGATCATTCAAAGGTTAACTCTCTCTCGAGTTACGAATAAAACCTTGGCCTCACGGTTCCAGCGGCTATCCATTGCGATGGATAGCCGCTGTTCAAGTCAGCGCTTTTCTTCCCAGACGAGTTTTGTGCCAATTAATCGACCTAGGAGGGATGAAAGGCTTGGTTGACTAGGAGGATACCGATCCATCATAAATCCATGATCCGAACTCGTAACCATGGGTGTGTGATGGGGCTCTACTTGCCACTTCACCACCTTCGTCCTCCGGATCGCGTACTTGCAAAATCACAGCAAACGACGAATCATTAGGTTAATCTTGTTATTCGTTTATACAATTCTTCATAAAGCTCTAACCATATGAAGGAAATGAAGTCACTTTCAGTTTGAAGACCGCCCTCTCGAGTATTTTTTCTACAGAAGCTTTCTTTTTTGCAGCCAGCGTCCCTGTTTGGTCACCATGTCGCGATGAGTTCGATCAATGGTAATATCGAGGACTTACTAAAAAACTTCAGCAGATTGGAGATGTGAGTCGACAGAATGAACAAGTTTCGCCATTTGTGACAGTAGACGTACACCAAGCAACCCAACCGGAGTGGAGAAAAATGGTTACATTAGTGTACGTTGTGACTATGCTCACACGAACACGTGTATGGACTTCGACTTCATAGGCCTCATTTCATCCTTACTGACAGGCTGGGAGAATACTGCTGAAAAAAACATGACAGTCGAGCAAAGATATCATTCTGTTTAGATATTGTGACGCTCCTGAGGGAAGTTTTTACGAATCGACGAGAAGCTGTTCCGTTGACGTTACGTTGGAAGAGGCTCTTCACTTTCCACAGCGAATCTCCACCAGATTACCTGTAAGAATTATCGTGTGTTGCTATTACCAATCCCTGCCGACGGAACGTTACTTCTGAAGTTGTTCCTTAAAGAATACTTGATGAGAACCTCAAAACTTCAGACTTTAACCAATGCATCCCAGCAATTAACTGTACGGAACTTAAAAGCAATGTGGTGTAGAGACGTGGCGCATTATTTCGAATGGATAGCCGGCGTCCCAGAGTTACGATTCATGGATATGCAAGAGAAGGTGAGTCGTGTTTTTTGTTATATTATACATATGCCGGTATATCTAACTGATTGACGAAGTTTCTAAGCAGCTATAAAAAATCCAGCATTCAGTTGACTGCTGTTTTTCACTTCCTTTGATGAACTAGGAAACGAAGAATTTTTTAGGTGAAACTTGTTACTCGTCAACTATGCAAAATCATTTGCCTAACCGTTGCTTACTGGACATACCGACAAGGGCACGACGGTATTGTATTTGGGAGTGGGATTTGTTTCATGCCAAAAGAAATCCAGGACGAAAGGTGATTCGTCTTGTCGCGATGCAAACGTTCCTAAATGACCAATTGTGTATTTACAGCCTGAAGAGATTCACCGAATCTCTTGCAAACGTCATTCAAAGCAATATTGTATCCGTATTCCGGAAAATCGCGATAACCAGAGAAGAGTATCTTCTCTTGAAGCTCATCATTCTCTTTGACCGTCAGTGCTTACACACTATTAAACGCATGCAAATCACACATCCATATCTCTGGGCAAAGACCCAGGAAACAGCTATTTATAGAATGTGCCTTCTTGTATACCTTTCAACACCTGAAGTTTTGTTGATTTCAGCACCGTATTTGAACTTTCCGCCTCCAGAGCGTCTAGTGGTTGGCACAGCCTTGAGAAAATATCAAACAGCTTTAATGAATCACATCAAAGCCAGTCATCGATCGTCGGACCACAATGCCATCTCAGCGCGTATATCGGCACTGTTTGGAACAATACCATACGTAGAGGTGAGAAGTGGAGTTTTCTGTGGGAAGACTGCTATGCTTCATCTATTCATTATCATCTTTTCATGGAACCTTTAGTTAGGGGAAAAGTGACATCACCCATCGGAATGTGGATATACTCACTTCCGATTCACAGATAACCTTTACTATCAGATAAGACCCATGATGATTCGATTCTGGGCCGGAACTAGTTGGTTCTCCAATACTTGTCGGAAGATTACAAGGCGAAAAGTAGACTTCTGATTTGTTGGCATAGGAAGAAAGTGATCTTGTTCCGGTGACGTGTAGCGGAGCCTTAAGAAAGCACGCTGAGGTGGCTTATCTTCTTATAAAAATTCGAATTTACCACTTTTTTCTTTCAGCTGGCGGCGCAAGTTGACGACCTTCACTGGGCGGTGATGACGGCTCATAATGAAGGGAATGTGCGGGGACAGCTCACGAACGAAATTCATGTGAAGTCGGCGAGGGTTTTCTGAACAGATGGCAGATCTTATCAAGGAATTGCTTCGCATTGGACAATAGTCTATTATTCCGACTTTTTAGTTGGTGCACGGATGACATAGTGATCTCACATTGGTAGGGAATGAATCCTTCGAGACGTGTCTGTTACTTGAGTGTCGTTCCACGTTGCTTTCTTGCCATACTGTCTTCAAGCAACAGTCTAATTTTGATCATGTTTTTCATTAGTTCCTGATGAGAGGAGCTACATCACTGGTGTATACGGAACAATCTTCTAGTCAGATTTTCATATAGACAATCAGACATGAGTATTTTTCAAAGAACGTGAGGAAGACGTCAGGTGACAAGTCGACCGATTAGTGAATTCTTAATCCTAGAAGCAAAGCATAGCACTATACTGGATACGATTTTCTGTTGAGGGTGTTTGTGCTTGTTGGTGCCTTTTGATGTTCCGAGGTTGTGTTATAAACATTTTTTCACGAACTGCTTTGTCTTTTCCTCTTGCAAACGGAATTTTGAATTTTTCACAAACATGCACGATTTATTCGGCAGTCTCAGACACCACACAAAAGTGTTACCAATCAGCTTTCCACTGAGGTTTTTACGAGATGGTCTCCTTTGAAACTTGAAAGAATGGATATCGGGATGTGAAAACTTGGAACTAATATAAAGTAAACTCAAGGCGACCTTCTCAGCCATCATACTCATCACATCGTCAATGATCAGATGAATAGTCTACCTTCTGAAACTTGTGATCAGCTCTCGTTTGTCATTATTTCTGTGCTCCAGCTTAGTAAATGTTGCTCTGAAATTACCCCCCTTATGACCCACATAGCATCCTAGCTAAAGCGCTCAAACCAGGTGTCCTTCAACAGTCCTTCATTACGTGTTTTGCTGATTACAAAATATCCGTGTTATCAGTGTAGGTGAAAGGATTTCCTCATTTGCTCCGTGGTTAGTTAATTCCCTTTCTCACCTGTAGAAAGGAGACTGAGCAGGCAGCGGACAGTGGACTCTCCAAAATATTGTGGATTGAAGATAGTCGATGGGATGGAGGAACTGAAGCCCTCACCCAAACTTTACTTCTTTTCTCCTGCTCAAGATAGATAATTGCAATCAACATGAATTCGACGATTTATTCAAGCTCAACTATCTACTAGAGGTTTTACGAGAGTAGTGAAGGAATCGGTAAATCTGTTTTAGACTCCGGGTAACAACCGCTCTCTTGTGATTGCTCACCTAAAGAGGAGCTCCAAGCTCTGACAACTTCTCAGCAATTTTCTAATTGTGAGAGAACGAAGGGACCGTTCAGTGATTGTTATGCGATCGAATTCAACTGATTATTTTCCAGCTGATGCTATAAGGAGACTACATTGACAAGATCAAAAGCAGCAGCATCTTTAAAGATCTGCGCTGAGCATTCAGAGATAAAATCTACTCTGAGAAGTGGCGTTTGCAGCTGAATGCTGCTTCAATATTAGGTTTTAACGGAAGTTCTTGCCGTTCCCTCATACAAAATAAAATTTTGGCTACTGTCAAATTAGAGCAATCGTCATGTTGTGCACCTAATGTAAACTATTAGTTGCTCTTTCTGTGAGGGCGCTTCTCACGGAATTCCGAAAGGCTTCTAAAATTTTTAGGACTTCTTTATTGCAAAATGGGTAAGACTGCTTTTCTACTGTTAATTCACGAGCTCGAGCTTGTCCGAATTTTTGCAAAGGCTTATTTATTGAGTCGGAGCATCCTGGTTGTCCGAAGCTTTGACTATCACTTCTGTCTCGGTGGTAGCGAAGGTCTTCTTCAAATCAATGAATGTAACACATAGCAGTCCGCGGTGTGACTAGAGGTATGTAGTTACATTATGTGTAGTGGACCCTGTCCAAAATTTGCTTGCTCACATGGCTTTCCCTCATCTAATATTCTGCCAACCCCGTTGAGGATGACCCGTTGGAAAACTCGTAGATAACAGACAGCTGGCAGTTCGGGCGATATTTTGGATTACCGGGATCTCCTTTCTTATACAACAACACAGTCATATAAGTTGTCCACAAGTTGGGCACTTTGCAATTCAAGAGAGACCGCGTGAAGAGCCTAGCCAATACTCTGATGGTAACTTTTAGAAGGCCCTTCAGACAATGACATGTCCGTCTTGCTTAAGATGGTAAGTAGGTAGTATTGACTGCCGTAGAGATTCGAGTAGAACTCGTAGATGACCACCTCCACTGCCAATCGGGATGCGATAATTATTCCGTCAAAATGACGAAATGGTCTTACGACTGGCGAAGCTCCCACGAGCTTTGCGAACGCTTTTTCTGCCCTACTCTATTATTGCAACCGTCCTCTCTTTCAGATCTTCCTTTATTGCTTATCTGCATGGCTTAGCAAGTTCACACGTCTGTTGGTATTCGCTTGTAGCTCGGGCGATTCCATGCTGGCCTATCAGCTCAAGAGTCTTCGAAGAGAGACGTCCCTTTTCGTAGACTCTCGGCTTTCTAGTACTACCTTGAAGGTGTTCGACGAGCTGGTTGTATTGCCCATCTGTGGTGTAACAAACGGAATCACTCAAAAAACTATCAAGGGAAGCGAAGTGGTCCCTGTTGATAACGAAGTATCATTCAAGGCTTTTGTTGACTAACCAGGTCGATCAGCTGCTCTTGAGCCAGTACGCTAGTAGACCTTGTATATGGAAGGAATGAATTTGTGAGGATGATTACTATTGAGCTCAACGTGTAGGTGGTGTTGTGGCAAGTGGTGCGCTACACCACAACATGCTCATGGTCCAGGCTTCAAATCACGGATAAATATCCGCTTAAGTAAACCAAGCCTCCCACTTCACTGGCGTTTTTTTATCGGCGACGAACTGGCTCGGGAAGATAAAAGCACTGACTTGTACTACAACGGCTGGCCATCGCAAGTCATTGTAATTACCCTCATCCAAATCCCTACTATTAGATGTGTGCATTAATGTCCGCCGCCAGGTTCGAAGAGTCGTTGCGCGAACCATGTTAGAGGTTCACTGGTAAATTTGTCATACTCTGTGAAATAGGGTGTTGGCGACCTATTTAAGAGCAGACAGGTCAGTTTTTCCCTAAAATCCCGTTGCTCTCAAACTGGTTGTTCATAGAGCGTGATAAACCGCTTTTCCGGGAGGTCCTTCTCCTGCTGTTTGATCGCAAGAAAACTGCTAGTGAAGCCCACCGGATGCTATTTGATACTTACGGAGAACAAGCTCCATCTGAACTCACCCAAAAGCTGTCGTTAATCGCAAGAAACATCATAAGGTGTTGTTCCACCACAACAATTAAAGACCCCATTTTGCAAAGAATGCCTTTGAAAAAATTGCTCATCTTGGATGGGATCAGCTTGCTCAGCCCGCATACTCCCTCCATCTTGCTCCATCTGATTACCACTAATTCCGGTTCATGCAAGTCAGTTTGGCAGATACACGCTTCCGGAAAGCCGAAGAAGTGCGGAAACGGGTGGATGACTGGGTTGCTTCAAAAGATGAAGACTTTTTTGGACTCGGTATCAACAAGCTACCAGAAAGATGGCAAGAAGTTGTAATTAACGATGTGCAATACATTGGTTGAAGTACATTTTGCTTTAATTTTGTAATAAGTATGTTTTTGCAGGCAAAAAAACGGCGAAAATCAATGCACACACCTAATAAGATTCTGAATGAAAGTCAGATGTGGGAATTCATCTCAAAAACGGGGTCGATAACGCTGAAGACTTCACCTCTTCAATTT